CGCCCCCTAAATACTTTATAGTATTTGTTATAGCGTGCGAGGTATTTGTCGTGATTTTACAAGATTTTTAAGGGTAAAACCAAATAATTTTGTTTGAAATCAAATCAAATCCTTTAATACAAGTTATTCTCGGATATGCGGTAAAGAGTTCTCAAATAGTACTTAATCACACAAATTTTGAATATGTATAATACTACCTCTAATACAATTCATATAAGTACATTAGCAATAGTGTGGCATTTAAGATGAAAATTTTTTGTGCACGACGACCAATCTTTTGCACAAGAAAGCATAAAATGTCGAAACGAGAACTGATGAACGGACATAATCCTTCTATACACAATAATCCAAAGAAATAACAGTAGATCCCTTACAACTTGTGGTAGTGTTTATTCAATGAATATTATGTCTTTTGATATAAGTTGTTAGAAGTTTAAAAATAAGTGATGAATAAAGCAAAGTTAATATTTGACTTATTTGTTAAGTATGAAGTGCAATTTCAATATTGCCAAACATATTTGATGGAAGGTATAATGGAGAACATATCTTGTGATTAATGAATACATAAAATGCATAACCAACAACACCTAGAAAAGAGATTTTGTGCAAGTAGTATAACACATCATGCTGTTCATGTGGGTAGCAGTCATTAAATCAAAAGAGTTTCATATAAGCTATTAAATGTTTGCTATTTACAGTGCAATATATTTGCTATAATTTGCAATTTCGATGCCCGTGTAGAGCTTTATTGGGCAAACTACCAAGATGGGATGATAAAAGTCTTCAATAGCTGAATAAAAGAGTCACACTACTCAACTGGGTCAATATGATCAGTGTGGAAATATCTTAAATATAAATATGTATAAAATGCAATCCACAGTCAGAGTTATGTAAATATTTGGAATTATAAGTTAGCAGAATTACATATCACATACAAGAGACACTCAGATCTTCCTTGTATAAAATTTCTTTGGTTTTTTTTCACAAGTTCATGGCCTTTTACTACACTTTATTCGTATTGATTGCACGTTCTTGTTCTTGTTATTGTTCCTCGCGTCATATGAAACCACTTGGCAATGTACATGGCCAACAGACATATATTCGTTTTATCTCGGTTTAGCAGTTCTTCGATAATGCTAGCATTCCTTTATCACAGGTAGAAAATCTTTTTTTAAACACTGTTTCAGATTTCAAGATTTTACCACTTCACGATTCATATTCTAGTACGAATTTCCAAAGTTTGTAGAACATAAACACGGATGTGGCTATAGCGTCGAAATTTTGTTTATGTTTGTGGACAAAATTCACTGGTTATATTCGCTTTTGACGATCTGTCTTCTCGGTAGAAGACAGATGGATAGCTACTATTTTATTTTATGGAGTATTATCGCAACGGATTTAGTTCAAACTGCCAGCAATACAACATTCTTCACTCCATCGCTGCTCGTCGCTATTAATTCTATACGCCATGTCGAAAGGTGGTGCTCGTTTTACGTCATCGCCAATGTCAAAAGTTCGCACAAAAATTGACAAAAATCGCAACTTTAGGCGACTGTAGAAACAGTTGGAAAAGGCCAATCTTAATTATGTTTTCAGAATTCTATCAGGAAAGAGACTCTTATAAAATAAGCTAATAAAAGCAAAGTGAAAAATTCGTTGCATAACTACTTTAACGGTTTACGTACGCACAGTTGAGAGGCCCATTCATCGATTATGTTCGGATACATATGCGATTAAAACCATTGAGTGATTAAAACCAAGTGACCAAGCACACACGTACAACGTATCAAATTTCCTAAATTTCGACCGATGAAAAACAAACTTGAATTTCTTCGAACGACTATTACATTATAGCAGACGGGAATTATTTCGAAGCAGTAAGAATTCATTATAATAAAAGCGTCTTAACGTGTAGCACAAGCATAATTGTGAAAACATAGAACACCGTCGTACCTGCAGCGGTTATAATGCAAGATGTATCATAGCACACGTTTCCCATTTTCGCATCTCCAGTATTTTTTTCGTGAATGTAAAGAGCGACGAACGCAATCGACAGAACAATGAATAATACAAGCAATGCCACTATTATTCTAAGTACAATTCTTGTTATTGAAGGCCGACGTAGTTCTGTGACAAGATTGCTAGTCGATTCATCCATGTGGTGTCAGAATCAAAGGACAGCTAATTTGCACAAATTCATTTGCTGTACGCGCAATTTTTAAGTTATGATATATATATAAATATATATATATATATATATATATAAAGATATGATTATAAATTTATTAAATCAGCTGTTACGCTCAGGTTAAAATGATTATCACTACGATTGACGGCGGATAACGGAAGCTGGGATGCTGAAGTTATCGCATATTCAATAGTTATAATCTGGTAGCACTATCCAAGAATAGCTCTATTTTGCACGTTCGACGGACATTTATAGTAGAAGCAGGAAACTTAGCTTAAAATAACCGTCTTGTGATCCTTTTTACGAATATCGCTGTTTCCAGCTCCAAATATAACCTCTATACGTGTAAAGGAGGTTTTAATTGTGGCACTTCGTATCCTCCACGTGATAACGAGGCTGAGTTGAAAAAAACTTTTTAAAAGCCTGGAAATGAAGGTTTTCATGCTGTTTAAGTGCAATTATAACTATTCAGAGTATGAAAGTATTTATATCTGCCAAATGAAAGTTACAGGTTTTCACTTTGCATGAAAGGTTAATCACGTGATTCGATAACTTGCTCGATACTTGCTCTTCTTTGCCAATTTTTACATTCTGAAAGCAATTCTTAATTTAAAATAACGCTATATTACTCACAATAAGATGAAATATAGAAGAAAAAATGTGCATTTAGACTTTTTCTGAAATGGAACTAAATTTTCTATGCAAAATATAATTGATTTGCAGCAGAGGCAGCTGTCTGTCGTTGTAAAATACAATTATATTCTTACAGCTAGTTTGTAGTTGAAAATACATTCGTAAGTAAACATAGATGTTATTAAATGTATATCGTCGGTTGATAAGTAGAGTGCTGAGAAGGACTGTTGGAACTTGAAATTGATGTTTACTGATGTTTTGACAACCGATGCGGTGGACATCCTACGAGTTACGTGAGGAGAAACTCCAGGTTCGCCGCATTTGTTATTTTGTTCATACACCGTCGCATTGTGTTTAAAAGAAATGTGTGGATGCCAGTTGTGAATTTTGGATTAGTCTAAAGAAATGCGCTTGATTTTTCGTTTGTTTGTATTGTGAATAAGTCGTTTATAAGGTGCCGGTAATTGTCCTGATATGTTCAGTGGAGCTGTTCTGAGTTGGTATACCAACTTTTGAACGTAAGCTGTCCGTTGTCTGTAGTGAGTACTATAATTAATGCATTTTGCCGAGTCCCAATCAATGTTGTGATTTTTCATTCGGCGATGTTCAGCAATGTGGTTAGTTTTGTCTTGTTTCTTTGTTGCTCGTTTGTTTTCAGTGAGTCTAATGTTTAAGTTTCCACCAGTCCCCCAATATAGTAGGCGTGACAGTCGAAGCTGTTTGTTTTGTAAACATTGTAATTGGCTTAAGTCCGACAACAACACACTAGTGTCTTTTGATGTGAAGTCGCTGTCCTCAAGTATTCTCTATGATCACTCACTGACTTGTACGAAAACTTTCATTACAAACACAAAGGGCGTACTCCTACTACCGACAGAAGACATTATTGAGCTACTGGAGCTTTGCCTTACCTGGACTTACTTCCAGTACAACGGTACATACTACGAACAGTTACACAGAACAGCAATGGGCTTACCCGTTTCTGTTAGAGTTGCTGAACTTGTAATGCAGACCATATAAGAACGTACGCTCGCGACTTACCAACACGTACTACCTTTTTAGTTCTGCTAAATAGATAATAAAGTCACAACACTACACGAAGACAAGATGGATATTTTCACACTCAAATTAACAAACAGAACAGCCGCATACAATTACAGCCACAAACATACCAAAGATTACGAGGGAAAAGACACTCACTTCACAATGTACGTTCTTAACTTTGTAGTAAAACATGGCAGTCACAAATTACGAACCACAATGTACGTCCAACCAACACACAACTACCGACAAACACAACATTGATTGGGACTCGGCAAAATGCACACGGTACTGACTACAGACAAAGGGGAAGGCTTAGGTTAGTTGGTAGACCAACTTAGAACATTACCCACTAAGAGATCAGAAAATTAATAATTGCTTTAGAAAGTAAAATTGCCAAAACCAAGTATCGAATAAGTTATCGAGTCACGTGATCAATCCTTCAAGCAAAGTGAAAAACCTATAACTTTCATTTGGCAAATATAAATACTTTCATAGTCTAATAGTTATAATTGCACTTACATAGCCTGAAAAACTTTCTTTCCAGGATTTTAAAACGTTTTTTCAACTCAGCTTCGTTATCACGTTGAGGATAGAAAATGCCACAATTAAAACCTCCTTTACACGAATTGAGATTATATTTGAGCTGGAAACAGCGATATTCTTAAAGCGGATCACAAGACGGTAATTTTAAGCTCTGTTTCTTGATTCTACTATAAATTTCCATCGAACGTGTTTTTTAAGAACGGCCTCCAGGCTATTAGGCCTAGGTCGATTTTCCATGCGAATCGAACTTAATGCGAACACTAAATAAATTTTAAACAAGGAGTTTTGTCATTTGAATAGTTTTGGAAAAAGCTTGACTTAAACGTGATCCTTATTTATTATACGCTGTTGATACAGGCCTGTTGAAGGCGAGGGGGGTAGGGCTGATATCTTATAAAGCTTGTATTTCATGGGTTTTTTTACCTTACGCAATTTATAGTTTGCAAGCTACGTCATAGCCGCCATGTTGAATGATTTCAACAAAAGATTTTCTTTATTTACAATGCAAATTTCATCCAACATGGTGAGCATTCCATTGTTCTCGTACTCCCAGGGAGATGGTTGCAATCCACCAATTGAGTAAAACGTCATATGATAGTGTAAAGTAGAAAATGTAATAATACACGAAAAGAATTATCAAGACGATAAATGTCAAAACTACCTGTACCAAAATTTTTGTTGATAATTTGGGAAAATGAAACAGACATACAGCAGCAAGAGCCCTACCTTTCCTACCTTTCCTACTTCTGTAATTTCCTACTGATTGTAATTTTTTCATTGGACGTCGTCGAATATTGAATTAAAGAAATATAATTTAGTTCCTTGTAAAACATTACAAGCCATCTTAAAAAATCCCATTCAGCCACGAATTTGACAACAACGATAGTGATACCCATAATTAGGGGGAGATCGCGTCAATCTGAAATATGTTAGAAAATATCTGTTTGGGCATTGAATATGATGCCTGTCCAGATAGTAATTTCTACCACTTCCTTCATCGCTAAATGCAGTATACCTATTATAACAAGAAGATTTAAAGCCAGAAAAAAAACAGCAGTTGTAACTATATCTCACATCTCCGTTTCTTCTTTCTAAGCGAAAGCTCGATAGAAGCCCGTTACTGCCACATGAAACTGTTTGTCTGTCCAAATAACGAGTATCACCATTGCCTGCAAAGGTGTATCCATTTCGTCTGGTAGAGTTAGAACACACTGTTTTAGTGAGCCTGCAGCATGTATAGGTATATCTGAATTGGTGGTTTTGATTTCGATTGAACCTAAATGATTGCATGACGTTACCGCTGCCTCCGCAGTTCAGGTGATGGCGATCAAGATAAAACATACTACCACCACCATCTGAATTGAAGGGTGTGTGGCGAGAAGTACATGATTCGCGACAAGACAATTCATCTTGGTTATCCCCGCACTGATAACGTCTGTAATTGCATCGGTAACTTTGAGGTATGCATTTTTTTGTGTTGGAACAGTGAAACTGTCCGCTACAGCAACCAAGGAAACAAGGCTTGCTTTTTTCATTTGATCCGATGCATGGTCTTCCTTTTCCCACCTGAACAACTTTATGTGATCTAACTCTTTTTGTAACGCCCCCGTAATCACATGCCTTGGAACATGAAGACCATTTCGACCAAGATGTCCACATACAATCGCGTTTATCGCAGCTCTTGCCGTAATAATTGGGCTTGCACTTGCACTGCCCAGTTTGATCAGCGCACTGAAACCCTGTACTAACGCTTTTTTGTGTATCATTGACTAGAATGCTAGTGAAGACAGTGCCATTTGCATAACACGAACATGCCAAGCATTCAGACTGTCTTTTCAAACAAGTCGTCTTAACATGTCCTGACAAATAATAGTTCCTTTTGCACTCATTTTTTATAACCAATGATGGATGTATATATCGTCCTCCGCGACACTGCACTGTCACTGAATGAGGAATGCTATATTTGCACGTGGAGCTGATGAATTTCGATACCTAAAGATTGTAAATCGTTCCATGGAACAAAGATAAAGTAATAAAGACGTAATATAGACAACAAAAGAAAAATGAGATAAAAATGACGACAAGAGGCCCCTACAGCAAAAGAGCGATAATGATACAGAAGATAAAATTTAACGGAAGTGTAGGAGAGAAATAATGGGAACAGAAACTTTAACAAGTACACAAGCAAGAATAAAAAAGTCACCTGAGCAGATGTACGTAAATCATACAGTTTTGCAAGATGCATCGATGACCTTCCCATTACATCAAGTGCCTTGGCCCACAGCATAAAGCCCATTTGTTGAAGAAGTACTAATTGTCGCCAATATTGTCAACAGCAGCTTTATATGGCTGCAGACATGATTCATTACTGTATCTGCAACGATACAAAAGTAATCTGCTGTTAATAAGCTTTTCAATCAAGACGAAACATTAACGTGAGTTAAATCTTTAAGTTCTGTTTCATAGAGTAAATTCGTGCTGTTTTACCTGTTCATGAAGACGATCATAAGAGGTTGATGAGCTGTCAAAGGTGTTCCTCTTCTTCCAAGGAAAAGAAAATTTATGTCATACAGCCATTTTGCAACTCCATCAGGTTCAAGAACTTTCCTAGCAAATGTTCTTTGTTCTTGGGCATGCGTATATGGATAAGTTATTGCTAGCTGCTCAAAACTATGTACGTAGTATTCGATATTCCTGATCGCATCGCCGTAGAGTGTGATCAAGTTCGACCATTGAAATTTTCTCGAAAAATGGCGGCCATGTTTATCAAAAGCCTTCGTAGATGCTACTTCCAGTTGAGTGATAGCACAACGTCTTCTACCAAAGCTAATTCCGACAAATTGCCTTAGATCTTCAATGTCAAATGCAATATCCCCAAGCATTGGAATCTTGAAAGTTTTGGAAAGCATAAGATCCATCGCCTTCAGAAGTTGGACTTTTTTGTGTTGCTGACAATTATCACCTAATCAAATTCAAAAGCGCGCTTTGTTGAGTAATTTTGAAATGAAATGACTTATTATAGAAGTAGCGAATTATGGATGCAATCTATGTTTTAACAGACTAAAATCCTATCCTTCATTTACGCAAAACTGTTCATTTTTTTGCACTTGTTTCCCAGTGATTCGGTAAATGTTGTTTAGATCATGCTATAAAAAATAAGAAAAAATGCTACACAGATATAGCGTTTCGGTTTTATATAGTAATAATTCCTCCTAATTAATACTAATAGGAGACGTTCACTGACTAAATATGTTTTATTTCGACTAGTTTTCGGCATTTGAAAAGTAAACTTATGTTTTAGAAGCTAAGATGTTATAGTAAATGGTTGAAACCTGGGTATATTGCATGTTCGTTGAAAATTATGGAAAATACGATTACGTTTTTAAGACTGTTGTAACTCAGTTAATGTCGCTTTGATTTTAGAAAGCTTATGGGAGATAAATTTAAGATAAAAATTAATGTATGACAGTACTTTTAACTTGTTTTGCTTTAATTATACCGTAAAAACCCTATATGTCCTGTTCAACTATTATCACGCCTGTGAGCAGTTCTTTTTGACTGAACTCAGAGCAGAAGCGAAGGAGATTTTAGTCAGTTTCCATACTTTTTATATTTATCATTCCCTCTACCACGAGGGTATTGAGCGCTTTTCGTATGTCACAAGCCACAAGCTACGAGCAAATTTGTGGGTGAAAATTTTGATTTGGAAAATGCGAAATGTTTGAAGCATTTCCTTCAGCTAGTCTATATCAAACGTGGACATTTAAGCCCCTAATTTCATACTGAACGGTGTTTATGAAGGGAAGTTAAAGTGCAGAACGGTATCTCCAAGAGCCATCTCTTAATTAAGCTGTATTTGCTCAAGAGTAAAGCTAAATTACTGCAACCCACATTTAAAGATTTCTTAACTTTTATGCAGGTACTACAGAGCGGGAGAGGGAGGCTGGGGGCTACCAATACGGCTGGTCGATGGCCCCTCAACAAAAAAAATGAGCTCCGTGGTCCCTGTAAAAATCAACTTTATTGTAGATGAAGAAGCCCAAAACAAAATTAGACCCATGGAAAAGTTGAAGATAAGCAGGGATGTTTGAGGTTATTAATTTGAAAGAAAAACAGACAATGTAGATTTCATCACTTGTACCTGATGTGTTGTTAAATGGGGCGTCTGCCGTGCCATACAGGGAAAGACGAAATCGATAAATTGTACCTTTCAAAAATAAAAATTCATTGAAAGATGAAAACTTTTTGTTCATTAAATCAGTATGGTTAACCGAAAACATCGTCTTTTTGGTCCATTTATATGAAACAAAAACTTCATTGGCCAAAGAACAGCGATGGTTTCGGTTTTATGTTGATTTAAAAAAATAGCCTTTTAAAAACACGGGTGGTGATTGGTCAAATGCTAGAAAAAACGTGTATAACTCAATAATGCACGAGAGTTCAGTCTTGCAAGAATCTCGCATGTTGCATGGTTTGAATGTATTTAACATGCTATTAAAAGCAATAAATTTATCTTTTAAATATTGTTATTTAAAGACTATTTTATAAACGAAATAAAAAAATATTTACTTATTTCTATTGAATTATATAAACACTTGTGAAAGTTTGGGAGAAACTCAAAATTGCTTGGAAATACTCGCACTTCGTACTCGGGCTTGCCACGCAAGTTCTCGTTTCTCTCAAACTTTGCCGTATGTTTGTATAACTCTACAGAAACTCTAGAAATGTTTTCTATTTCTTAAATATTTAACGGCCGCAAAATGCCAGCCCTATTGCAGGCAGAAACGTTTCAAAAATAACCATTAAATTTCGGGAGAGCAAAATAGTTAAGTTCCTTTTTCCATATTCAAAACAACACAAAAATAGCCCCATCTTGAAATATTTCCGAAAAAACAAAAAATACGCGTTTGCATTGAGCAAGTACATTTGTATTGTTCTTCCTGAAAAAACCCGAACGTTAGGGAGGTTTTTTCTTCTAAAATAACCGAAACCGAAATAGATCTTCTGGAATTGCACAGCTCTTTTGAAACTTTTCGTCTTCACACAAGAAACTTTTCAATTTAAATTGCGTTTTCACAAAACTTGCTTTCTGATCATGTAATATCTTGCAACTACACAAAATGCACAATCGTATTCACATATTTTTATAACGAAAAATTACAGTTATCTAATATAAAATAAGTGCAAAAAACAAGATGACTCGATGCTAAGATAATAATTAGACTTTCCTTACCCTTGCCAAACCCAAAAAAGGGGATTTCATTTTTTAAAGAAATTTTCCAAGATCCAAACGAAGGCTCACCCCAAAAATGAAGACTTAGCGTTTTCAAGTTAGTGAACCTTCTTGCCGATGTAAGGGAATCCATCGAGCGAGCACTAATGACTTTTGACAAAGTGCCACTTGGCGATTGAATATAAGCGCTAAGGACACCGCGTTTAAAATAATCAACGTCAAACGTTGCCACAACGTGCTCGAGATGGTTTATGATCCCACTTTTGCAGTTCAATTTGTTGATTGAAACATTAAACGTCGTGGTGTGAGATCTAAAATGTAAATGTTTACAATTTACAATGTCAGGTGACCTCTTTCATCGGAAGCAACGCAAAGAAGCTGTTAATTTTCCAAGGTTTTTTGGAACAATTACATTCGACATACCAATTTATCGTGATTCAAGTAGCTACGTTTGGTTTAAAAGAAATGAAATATTTCACTTTTTATAGTGAATAAAGCAGTAAAAAGTGGTTGACAAACTTTCGTTCAATGCCGTAAGCAGTAGCTGAAAGGGATCAAATGTAAAAAAATGCGTCCTAAATTATAGAGATGATCGATCGATATCAAAAACTTACGTCAGTGACGATCGATAGATGTCAAAAACTTACGTCAGTGACGATCGATAGATGTCAAAAACTACGTCAGTGACGATCAATCGATGTCAAAAACTTACGTCAGTGACGATCAATCGATGTCAAAAACTTACGTTAGTGACGATCTATCGATGTCAAAACTTACGTCAGTGGCGATCGATAGATGTCAAAAACTTACGTCAGTGGCGATCAATCGATGTCAAAATTTACGTCAGTAACGATCGATCGATGTCAAAAACTTACGTCAGTGACGATCGATAGATGTCAAAAACTTAAGTCAGTGACGATCGATCGATGTCAAAAACTTACGTCAGTGACGATCGATCGATGTCAAAAACTTACGTCAGTGGCACAGAAGAAACAGTAACTTCACATTTCAATTGCGAGGGCAGTGTTTGATTGAATTTTTTGGCATTCTTTACAAATAATGAGGCATCAAGAGAACCAAATCCCACTTGGTTGCTCACTATTGATAAAAAAGAAAATTATGCAGAATTGGCATCATTATTGACAGCATATGTAAATTAATTTATTTAGATACGATATACAGCTATATATCAACATGTTTTTCCTGATTACATATGTCTGACATGAGCTTTTGTACAAAATTCAAATCCCATCTTTGTCATTTATACCTAAAAATCCTGCTTTGTTCAATGTTTTCTTCACATTCCCATGAACATTGTCCATTCGGCTTGACCTCACAATCAGATGCTGAACCTCTCGCCAAGTTAACGAATTTCTGTAAAATCGACATTTAAATTATCGGTGGTAAGTTCTTCATGATTACGTTAACCATGAACAGTTTTCGTGTATAAAGGCAAGCAATGATTGTAATTTTTGTCTTTCACGAAAACGTCAAAAATTGCAGCGGTTCGCTTTTTGAACTTTAACTTAGTTGTGAAGTGGCTGTATTATGTCATCGCTATTGAGTTACCACAAGTTACACTTTTAGGCAAACAATACCAATACCCATACAAAAATTGGCTATCAGTAAAACAAGGAATGGGAAATAAAGGAATGGAATAGAGAAATAAGAAAACCCAGAATGACAAAAGCCAGAATCTGTAAAACCTGGAATGACAAAAGCCGGAATCTGTAAAACCCGGAATGAGAAAAGCCGGAATCTGTAAAACCTGGAATGACAAAAACAGGAATCTGTAAAACCCGGAATGAGAAAAGCCGTAATCTTTAAAACCTGGTATGAGAAAAGTGCATGTGCTGAAACCTTGACTGGACTGTGGTCTATAGACTGGATTGTGGGCTATGGACTGTTGACTATTAACCATTGAGTAAGGACTACTGTCAGTCAAATAGTTTTATCAAATACCGCGGTAGTGGATCCTTGTTCATTACGAGTAAAAAGAATGAGTAAAAGTTAACTTTTTCGATTGCAAAGCGCAATGCCTTTTATGGGGATTTTGTAAACCACTTTTAAATTTTAAAATTCCACTTTTAGCAAACTAATCTATCTAGTCCTATATAAACTTCTCATCTTCCATATCAAATTAAAGGTAAATGACTGATATCCGTTAATCTAACATCTTTGTTAATCAGTTCTCAATTGGGTTTTACAGATTCCGGCTTTTCTCATTCTGGGTTTTACAGATTCCGGCTTTTCTCATTCTGGGTTTTACAGATTCCAATTTTCCTCATTCCGGGTTTTACAGATCCCAGTTTTTCTCAATCCGGGTTTTACAGATTCCAGCTTTTCTCATTCCGGTTTTACGGATTCCGGGTTTTCCCATTCCTCCAGTTCCGTTCCCCGATTCCTTGTTTTACAGATAACCTACAAAAAATTGACAACTCGTTCATTTTAGACTCTCTTAACATTAAAGTAAATGGTTAGAACCCGTTAGTATCGTTACATGTTTGTAGATGTAGATCGTCCAGGTTAGTATAGTCCTGAGATGGATTGTTGTTGTTGATGTTGAGTGACGTTTCGACAACCTTAGCGGTAGTCATCTTCAGAATAAGATTTTTTCAACATTTCAACCCAATAGAGTCAATAGAGATAATACTTTGAAATTCCAATAACTATTGCACCTCGATCGACCCCTAATAATTAACAAGTCGAGTAAAGTCTTAAAAACTTATTTGTTATAAGGTATCAAAGTTACCACACCATAACTATGTTTGTTGCCCCAAATTGTCCTTTGGACAGAGATTGCATATAAAAAAGTACATTTGAAAAAATAATAATTAACGCATGCATTGATGTAGTTGAATAAAATCAGAACAATGAAAAGCAAAGCGACCTAATCATATGGTGTAGCTTTTACACATGTATGTTTAATAACTCCACTATCGTGAACTACTTATATTGAAAGTCGTTAAGGGCGGTAAATGTTGAGTGATCTAATAAAAAGATATGACATAACGTTTTAGGTACACACTTCGCTTGAAGACCAAGTGCTATTATTCCGGACACCACAGCAGCAGCGCATGAGGTTTCACCAAATTTGGTGGTGCAAGCTTTGTCGTTTGCAGCCGATGTAGTCACCTAAATAGTACAAAATAACATTCTGTTATCATATAAAACAAAATTGTCATCATACGGTATATTATATATTATTTATATTTTTCATATAGAAGATTTCCACATTGTTCATATTAATTGTGTTTATGTGTTTTAGTCATTCAAAATAAAGTTTGCAAAAGGCTTCAAAGGAAATTTCTTTAGCGTTCTATATAGCGTTCTTGCGTATGCTTTCTATCATCGTAGGCGAAAGCTCAGCTATTCATACCCAATTTCCACAAACAGCAGCTGTCATGACAGCACTGCATTGTTCAGATTTAATCGACGGCATTCCATTTCTGTTAAGAGCAGCAACAGCAATCGTTTGGATATTGTTTACGAACCCGTTGAAAGCGCAGTTATCTCCGAAAACTACACCTTTCCAGAGGAGAAGACATAGATTGAACCAAGACCATTGCGTCCCTTGATCAAGCAAAAATTACGAACGAATAAAGAACTGAAAAATTAGGCACTCTCAAAGAGGTTGCACGTACATTGTACCTCCGCTTCATAAATGACGCCTACATAATGTATGCATAATAAGTTTGCACGACCTAATTACGCATTCATTATTAGTTTATCCAACGAAATTTTAATCATTTCTTCCTTTACAGATGGGAAAAGCACTCAAAAAATTATATATTTCAATTATAGAAACGAAAGATTCTTGGATGACAATCTTTGTTTTTGAATAGTTTATAATTTGTCAAGTTTCGAATTGAATTAATGATTTCAAACTCATTGCTTAAAATGGACACGTCGATCAAATCTTTTCGACAATTTCATTTCAGAAAATTGTAAATTGAAAGTTTAATTATAATTGTTTGAGCTTAGTCAACGAAAACAGACAAGAAAGCCAACTAATAATCATACCTTTGCTACACCATTTTGAAATGCAAGCTCGGTCAAAGGGCCTGGACCTTGGACTATGAATCCAGTATCGGGAGGACCCCAACTGTTTGAAAAAATATCGATGCCGCGACCATGAAATGGGAACATAGCTTGAGCAAGAACGGTGTCATTTGGAAAACTTGAAGAAATTACTTGAATGCCTGAAATCAAAAAACAAAGAGCATGGAAACAATAAAATAGATGATTGAAGATGACTTAAAAAGTACAACGATCATCATAGTCAGATCTATCGCAAGTTTTTAAAGACCGAGATTAAGTGACTATCGAATGATTCCACAATTTTTGTTATCATTTATTTATGCTATCAAGGAGAAAGTTTTTTATGTAACGTCTCCACCTCTACTGACATAATTATAATCAATTACGACTTCCAAAAAAATAAACACAACATTTCTACTGATGATAACATGTAACACTTGCCAAACGTTAAGAATAAACGTTTACTTTAAACAGAGTGTCAGTTGTTTTGCGTCATCAATGAACTGTTTGCATCTAACAAAGACAATGAAAGCGAACTAATAGCGAGTACCTGCAATTTTTGCATTAAAAGCAATGCCATCACCGCAGATTTTGTTTCCAACAGCACCAGCAATTATTCCAGCACAATTTGTACCAGACCTGATAAAATACAGGCACTACATAAAAGCACGGCATTTATCTTTTCTATAAAAGTTTGTAGTTCTGCATGATATGAAAATCACGCAATTGGGCAACACGATTTGGAAATACATAGTTGTCCTCAATAAGTTAAATTTGTTTATTGGAGTAATGCTAACTTCCAAATATATATTGCATTGACACTTCAACATTTTCCTTCTTTCATTAATAAAAGTAGGTATACTTCACTCGCTCTTTTACTTCTGGTCACTGCTAAACTTTCAAAACAGTTCAAGGAAAATCAACTCGCTCCTTTTAAAATATGGACAGTTTAAGTTCTTCATTTTTTAGGGTGGCATTTCACGACAGCTAACGCTTTATGCAAAATAAGAATTGATACAAAAAATTGTCGTTTTTTCAGAAAAGAATTTTATCCAAGTTGAGAAGAGTTGTTATGCATAGTTTAAGGCTCTGAATGGAATGCGAACCACTCCGCATTTAAGTGTGATAAGCTGACTAAGTAAAATTATCACAAATATGGTTTCACTAAAAATTGACAGAATTTATGTAAAACAAAAGAAATGCTTACTTGAGTTCAAAATAAACTGCAGTTATTTTGAGTTGAGAGGAGAATTGTTAATTGTTTGGTGCAATCAAATATTATCAAAACGAAAGGTTAATTTAGAACTGCTTGAGACTGCAATACAAGATGTTGTACTTACTCGTCAGAATTTGAAATATATTTATCATTATTTGCAAAGTCATAACTCAGCTTGGGATCCTGCGTATTGTAAGAAAAGAAAAATTAATCACGAGATGTGCTTTTTTTGGTACAACAGAATAATAAGATCAGAGAGCCTGTTTTTTTTATCACACAATACGTAAACAACATAAAACGCGTAAGTCGTCTAAAAATTAAATATACAGTGGCCAGTTGCACACGAAGTGGACCTACTGTATATTCACTATACTGTGTAACAAATTACGCGCTTGGTGCGTAACTTGTACTTGGAAGGTTCTATTCAACGATCATTGAGCTGCTTAAGTCTTCATTTTGGCTTTTATTTCAGCTACTATACATACATGAATGATGAATATACACTCAGAACAAATAAATATGTGGGCAAAAGAGAACAAGTTAAAGTTGAAACACACCAACATGTTAATAGCCCATAGAACGTAGATCATGGACAATCAGCCACAATCTTATTCCATGCATTTAGGTTAATAGGTTCGTTTTGTAGTTCTTGTTGCCCTAATCGATAAGTCGTATGAAATTGAATGATTCCTGTACGAGTACGAATTCATTAATCTTCCACTCGTTTTGCATATATTATCTATAAATTTTTCTGTGTGATGGTTGTGACAGTAAACATGATACACGTCAGTCGAGTCTCGGAAGTCAAAAATAAGTGAGTTAAGCGACCAATAAATTCAAAAATGTCGTAAAATACATAACAACGGTAACTCCAAATAATGTAAGCATTTCAATTCAACGTTTCGACTTTATTTAGTCCTAATGATGGCTAAATAAAGTCAAAACGTTCAATTAAACAGCTTACAATATTTGGAATAACTTCAATATGTTCTACTTTCAAAGCGACTGGCTGACGCGAATCAGCTACCATACATAACTCTCGCATGCGTTTGACACATTCCTCAGGATTACGTCTCGCGCTCACACGCATAATACGATGTATTTCACACATAAACAAAAGCTAAAATTTACTGATTTAACAAAAGCATGCTTAACAAATGTTTCATTCAAAGTATATTTAATAAAATTAAATTTCAACTTCCATTCCTGAAAACGAATTTTAAAAATTTCCAAAGGATGATTGACCACTTTATGTAATGTCGCACAGGCAATCTCGCGCATGAGCAAACTTGAACCTTGGCATCTATGTCGCCAAAGCTGTTGCCTTGCGTGTTTAGGCTTTACACAGACTGACCTACCATAAACCAATGGAATCAGTTACGTTGAAATTACATGATAACATAAATTCACTTACGTAGCTTGCAGTTAGATCTTTGTGAGTAAATCTCAATCCAGAATCAACGACAGCGATGGTTATATTCTTGCCTGTATATCCCATTTTCCAAACTCTCTTGACATTATGATCAAAAACATCGTCCTTACCCTAAGAAATAAAGTAATCCTCCAAATTGCAAAGTTAACTAATCAAAAACTTGACGACACAACATGTTCTAGGTATTAAAATAGGTCAAAAGTGCAAAACATCGCAGCTCAAATAGCTAAAATATCATATTCAGAGATCAATTAGTTCATACAAACGAACCGATATGTTCACGAGTTTACTTCAATACGAAATAAAGAAACGATGATTTATTTCAAAGTATTAGTTTGCTTTAAATGTTTTTGCGACGCTTAGGTACGCAAAAGCTTGGCAACACCCAAATGTTATTCCTTGAATTTAGCAATGATATCAGATACCTTAGTTGACGCGTATAAGAGTGTTTATAATTTATAAATGGAGATTATTCTTTGAATTTAGCAATGATATCAGATACCTTAGTTGACGCGTATAAGAGTGTTTATAATTTATAAATAGAGATTATTCCTTGAATTTAGCAATGACATCTGATTCCTTAGTTGAGGTGTATAGAGTGTTTATAATTTATAAATGGAGAAGTAAGAACATGAAGAGTTAAAAAATGATATTCGACAAACAATATAACACGATGATATTGCCTCGAACAAATTTCAGCAGGATTGACCTATTTCTTATGCAATTAGAAAGCGTAAAGTATTACCTTACATTGAAAAATCAATGATATCAGCAAAACTAGCGACAACAATGACATAAGGTTTGAAGCAAACATGCTTATGGTTTAGGTTTTTACGCTTCTCATACACAAACACTGAAGAAATGTTTAGTTTTGTTTTGTAATATGCTCTAAACAATAGATGCTAACACTGTATGCTCACTATGCTGAAGGAAGTTGATACTCAATGCCAATGTTGCCAGATGAATTTTAAATAAGTTCATGTCGGCATGTTCAAAAGTTCACATATTATCCACCAATGTTAAAAAATCGACAAAAATTGCATAATTTGCACCAAATGAATGAAATAAGCTAAATCAAATGTAAATTTATAATGATGCACATTGCACATTTGTACAAAACAACAAAAAAATAACAATGAAAAACAGTTATTTAGTTCGATTCAGAATCTCGTCGAAAATGGGCATAGAAGGATGAGATTGTCAACGGTTGTAGATTACACTACCTTGCAAATAGGTCCTGTCAATTCTAATTTGAAGGGTGGCCATGGTAGGAATAATCATATCAATGGTGGCCCATAAGATTCAATGCTGTAAAATATCAACACAAGTTATGTAATCCACCAACACAAGCTGAAATAATCACGCAAGTAAAATAATCACAACGCAAGTAAATAAAGTCACAACACAATAAATAAAGTCACAACGCAAGTAAATAAATTCACGCACAAGATAATCATCACAAGGATGGAATGGTCAAACAATTAAAATAGTCACAATTATTTTTTCATATAATCACAACGCAAGTAAAATTGTCACAACCAAGTAAATGTAACACCAAGTAACTGGATATTTTTTCCACACAGATAAACATTGGAATTAATAAGTAGAATCATTTGAAAATTAAGCGATGGTCACTTCTTCCTATGATGTAAAAATATGTGATTCTCATGTATATGCCAAAACTTTGGCTGAGAGAAGCAACTGGCTCACAATAAGCAACCCGTGAAAAAGCATCCAAATGGGTTTTCGTTGTAGCACAGATATGGAGTTAGTTTTATATTTACGTGCATTGCAGGATTTGGGTTGTCAAGAATCGTCCCATGTTCAACGTCGTAGAATGCTATCAAGTGGCTTGTATCTCCAATTCGATTTGGTGGGTTGTTTGGTCAGTTTAACATGGCAGCATGAAAAGCGTACCTATCCGCGGTGAATAACTCGCAGGGTCACGGCTCCTCGAGCCCAAGGTTTCCGATGACGGGTTAAGGAACCTCAACACTATGGGATAGAAGTTTGCGAAAGTGCCCAGTTTGAGCCCTTTATCTGGGTCGGCCTGAAAGCATCAAGCTGTACGTTGTTAGTGGTGACAGCGATACCGCAAACTCAGCATCCTCACGGGGACATACAAAGAGGTCGGGCATCAAAGTTATAAACCAGACTCTGGCCAACGCCGGTCATGACGGTATAGTCTTCAGCTACATGCGGGCTCAGAGCCAAGTTCAGTGAGGGTGCCGGCTGGTAAGACCTTGAAGATGAAAAGATAGCCCTCCCTCATCCTTGGCTTAGGCGATTGCGGAGGTAAATCGTGGGATGCCGCAGGTGGCTCCTCCGGAATCGTGAAACCCTTCCCTATTCAGTAGACCTGAGCGCGGGTCGGCGGGCAGTCCTCCTTTATGCGGATCGACCTTCCGCTGTGGAGTATAGGACAACTGACAGCCATCTCAAGCCTTCTCGTGCAGACACTCGACGGCATTAACAATTATGTGTTTGTTAAGCCTGACTTGTGCGTCTACGCCCTACCAACAAGTTAATGAGGTGTTCTTTTGGTTGAAATTCAACACTGAGAGTACATTTCCAAAGGGTATCCGATCTTTCTGGATCTAAGAACCGTTGATATTTTAATTTTCATCAGATTTAATGTGCCAAAAGATGATATGAGCAACATCTCGTAATGATGGGTTCCGGAGGAGCTTTGTTGCCTGCCATGGTGTTGCTGCAGCGGCTCGCCTCGATCTCTGGGGTCAAGGTCTGCGAATGAGGTTTTCCACTTCTGGAGTTCGGTATTGCCGATGTCTCGCTGGAGAGCAATGTCTCAGAAGCGTTTGCGACATGGGGAAAAGAACTACCGTGCGCGGTGCAGGCAAAATCGGCATTGCTCATCGCGGCCGCTGCCCACTTACGGTAGAAGTGCTCCAACACCTCGAGAATGTTTACAGGCATCATCGAGAGCTGATTAACGCTGGCAATCAGCACCTTGTGCTTTTAGACCCCGCTGTGCTTCTTGTAACTATGCTCGCATATATAATTATGCTAGCATAATTAGTTCTGATGTGATGATTATAGTATAAAGAATGGAAGATGGATTACCCGCTCTCGAGCGTTGACATCGAACGCCTCCTGAAGGCCGAGCGAGCCCGAGGACGGTTCGTTGGGGTCTGTAGCTACGACAGCCTACCACATCTCCACGATGGGCAGTTTTGCATCAGCAACACGGACAACATCTACCCTCTCCATTATCCGGTCGAAGGGGGGCACCACTGGATAACTGTTTGTTGTACTGAAACGCATGTGCTTGTCTTCGATAGCTTTGGACGTGCGCTCGCTGAAATAGAGGAAGCATATACAGAGCCTCAGCTGCGCAGATATTTTCTGAGGTCTTCCCGAGCGGGTCATGGTTGAATACGTTTGCAGTGCAGAGTCGAGCAACGGCTGTCTGCGGGCGCCATGCTGTCCTGGCTGGGCGGCTGTTTATAGAAGAGGGCTCTGTAGAGGGGCTTTTAAAAAGATTAAGGGGAGTGTTCGGCGAAGACACTCTAGCCAATGATCAGAAGGTTCTCGACCTTGTGCCTCTGACCACTGCGGTGGTCCTGACGATGTCGAAGCTGAAGAGAAGTCGCCTACGACACGTCGCCGTCATCCCGACAAAGCATGGTCACGTTTCTACGGACGGCAAGGAGAACTCGCAGAGTACTACAGTCCCAGGGTACTGGCGGCCGTGCTGCTATCCAAAGCTGGCTAAAGAGGCATGTCGGCGAGGATGAGGCTCATGAATGGCTAACAAAACAGGCCATCTAGCAGATCTACTTGCCCGCACCAGCGAAGTGATATCCCCGGTTTGACATCAGCACCCCGAATGAGGTCCACCAGGCCGATCTCTTGTACCTGCCTCACGATCGAGTCGGAAGACGCACATTCAAATACGCATTGACGGTCGTTGACGTAGCAAGTCGGTATAAGGAGGCCCAGGCGATCACAGACAAGACAGCGACCCAGGTTGGGAAGGCGTTAGAGTCCATTTATGCCCGTGGGCCTCTTCGATGACCTAAAGTTTTACAAGTCGACCCTGGCTCGGAGTTCCGCGGCTGAGCAAAAGTGTGAAAAAAAAACGATCGACGGGTAAGGTCGGGGTTCATAGAGATCTGGAACGAAAGATTTTAACCGAACTTTGGCGGAGCGATTGTTCGGTTACCAGTATCATCGCGAGCTGGCTGAGCCCGGAACTCGGAACAAAGAATGGGTATCAAGATTACCTGAGGTGATTAAACGCTCATGAAAACTACCACGGGCGAAAGCTCCCTTGCGATTCAGATGAAGAGCGTTAAGGCCAAACCCGCTGCGCCCGCCGTCCGTTGGTTTCAATGAGCAACGCTTGCCATCGGATGTTATGGTGCGGTATTTGTATGCGCCTGGCGAACTCGAGGGTGGCGAACGACGTAGGGCGACCGATCCTATCTGAGTGTGACCTCCGCCAGGTCGAGCGGCTGTGGTTGAGGGCGGGAAGCCCGTGTTGTATTATTGAGCGATGGCCCGCACGCGTTTATGCGCGAGGAGCTCCAAGTGGTGCCCTTTGGGACCGAACACCGCCGGCTTAATGGAAGGCATTTATTTATTTAGTCTGATGTGATGATTAGTCCAATGTGATATTCACCTGTGCACCGGCTTCCCCATGCCCGTATGCTAGAGTAGAGATCCCATCGGCCGCGATCCAGCGCTTCGTGTCCAGCGGGCTCAACGATGTCTTGTTGACATGCTCGCCGAAGATCTGATGCCCGCGACTGCGCAGCATATCCATACCGTGGCGGAAGCGCTTTGCTTCGAAGAGCGCCTCTTTGTACTGGGCATGACTGATATGCTTTTTCACGACGGCCTTTTTAACACCTTTGGCTTTGCGCTCCTCCAGACCATCGGCTTTCAGCATAGAGTTCATCTTGTGCCTGAGTCCCACAAACTCGGCGATAGGCACCCCAGTGCACTCGTCCTTCATTTTCCCAAAGCACCTTCTTGTTGGCTGTGCTGAACAGCGGATGGTCTTTGGGGGTAGTTGCTGGTGTCGTACCGGCGTTGCGTCTCATGTCGGCGTACACATCCTCAGTCTGAATCTCCAGTACAAGGCTGTCGGTGTAGGTGTAGAGGAGCTCTGCTGACGACCCGTACTGCACCTTGAGATGGTTGTAGTACCAATCGTACATCAGATGCTTCGAGAGGTCAAGAACGCTCATGCCCATGAAGACAGGCCGGTTGAGCAGCAGACTGCTTTTATTCATGTGAACAGCTGCGAGGTCTCCCGCATCGCCAAAGATGAAATGCCGATTGAACGTCGGCTTGGCGATAAGTTTGCGGAGTCTCTCGTCATCGCTTGGCCGGAGCAGCTTCACATCGACACGCTTTCGGAGGTCTCCATCGTCTTGCCGAAGACGCTGTTGTTCAGCAGCTGGTAGAGGTTGACTTTAAAGTCAACCTTTGCCTTCTTCCGGAGTGCGGTGTTTTTCCGGATGTAGGGCTCTATCCATAAGCTATGATTGAAGCGGAGTGCCCTGTGGATCTTTTTCAGGCGCATGCCAAGCAGCAGATAGAGCTGCAGATTCCGATAATGCAGGACGTATCGGGTCTTATCGCGCAGATTGGGGACCAGATTTTCGACCTCTTGAGACGCACCCCGATACATCTGTTTGAGGAGATTTTGCTGGTAATCCGACATTCACGCGTTGTCGACCTTCAGGCGTTCTGGCGCTAACGGATATGCATTATGCTTGTCATGCAGCTCTTCTGGGTACTCCAGACCGACTTCGAGAGTGTAGCCCTTCTCCGCATCTGCAGGCTGGTTCAGGGCCGCCTTCGCATCCTCTTGGAACACCCACTCGAACGCACCTGTCGGCAGCGGCTGCGACATCGCCCAGCCGTACAGGTTGTTGGCGTC